CCAGGCCATGCTGACTGCAGTGTTGCTGTGCTGTGCTCTGCTGCTGGCACTGCCTGCCATGCAGGGGGCCCAGATGGGCTTGGCCCCCCTAGAGGGCATCAGAAGGCCTGACCAGGCCCCGTTCCCAGAGTTGCCAGGTCAGTGTGGGCAAGGGTGGGTCTGAGTGGCCTAGACACCCTCTGGTCACAAATTATTTTGCCTGGTATGCACCCTCCTTCCCCCTTCCCAATCCTAGGCCTGGGAGGTGGGTGTTTTGTGCATGTGGGGGTTCTGCTCTCACATCATCTGTCCCAGGCCTGGGTCTGAGGCCTGGGCTGAAAAGGACAACTGCAGAACAGGCGGAAGAAGCTCTGCTGCAGGAGGCCAAGGACTTGGCAGAGGTAACTGCTCAGGGAAAGGGGTGAGGCCACAGGCCTTGGGAGGGTATATTAGGCATCATCCCCACTCTCCACTTAGTGACCCCCTTACCTGGGGGGTCACTGCACACCATCCTTCCTCATGTTCCACTGCCATCCCACTTGGATCGGGGCAGGTGAGGTCCCTAGATCTGCCTTTGGAGACCCATGCTCCTGCATCCCTGCAGGTGCTAGATCCAGAAGGACGCGAACCACGCTCCCCGCGTCGCTGTGTACGGCTGCACGAGTCCTGTCTGGGACACCAGGTACCGTGCTGTGACCCATGCGCCACGTGCTACTGCCGCTTCTTCAACGCCTTCTGCTACTGCCGCAAGCTGGGTACTGCCATGAACCCCTGCAGCCGAACCTAGGTGGCCGACGTCAGAGTCGAGGCTGGAATAGGGAGGCGTGAATAAAGTTTGGGACCAACCCTGAGGCTGTGGCATTATTTCGAACGTGGCTGTCGGAGGGGGAAGGTCAGGGCAGGGATGGGGATGCCTCAGAGCCTAGAAACCACACACACACCCCTACCCCAGGGCCTGTGTTACGTCATCATCTGAGTTACTTACAAGTACGCTCTTAGGGCGCCAGGTGCCGTTGGGGTAAGCAAAGGAGAGCCTGGCTCCAGCCTTCGCATTATGTTGCACAGTACATGCGCAGAAGGGTGGGCGCAGCACGAGACAGGGGCTGTAACTCCTGGCTGGCGACCAAGCATTAAGCTCCAGGGGCTGCTTGCAGCTAATTCGACATGTGACCCCCAGGGAAGCCCTCCCCTTACCGTACCTCAGTTCTACTCAAGAGAAAGCTGATGCAACAGTCTGGAATATTTCCAAACATAAATACTCCGCACGCCTCCACAGTGCCAGATGCACTAGACCTGGGAAAGCTAGTCTATACTCCGCATGCCCCACAGTGCCAGATGCACTAGACTTGGGAAAGTTAGAGGGCCCAATCCAATTCCCGCGGCCACGGGCGCCACCACGCGGCCAGCCTCAAACGCTCTAAGCCGCTCCAAGCCGTTCCAGCCAGGAGCTGGAGGCTCTCATCCCCTCAGCGCGCAGGCGCCAGAGGGCCGTCCTAGCCGACACCTGCGCAACGCTAGCGCCGGAAACCAAGCGGAAGCCGGGTACGGCTCAGAGCTCCGCCCCATTATGGTCACGTGAGGCGCTTGCGCGTCACCTGACGTGCTTGACAGTCCGTAGCCGGCGCCGAGTCAGCTGGTTTTGGAATTGCGCTGCGTGCCTGCGGGTTGGGGTTCTCTGGTCCCGCCGGCCCCGCCGCAGCCATGTCGTTCTTCCCGGAGCTTTACTTCAACGTGGACAATGGCTACTTGGAGGGACTGGTGCGCGGCCTAAAGGCTGGTGTGCTCAGCCAAGCCGACTACCTCAATTTGGTGCAGTGCGAGACGCTCGAGGGTGAGCCGCGGGGCCGGGATGCCGGGCCTTGAAAGGCGGGCAAGGAGGCTGGCCCGGGCCTGCGGGTTCCGAGGTCTGGCCTAGGAAGCCGAAGGCGGGCGTTCTCGAAGCGCCGGAGAGGCCTCGCTGAGAACTTAGGGGCCGATGGCGGGTGCGCGGGAAGGGGAACTACCTCTAGCTGCTACTCGGCTCAGGCCCAAACGAAAACAAGGCTTTAAGAACCTCAGTGGTTCGCTTCTGCTGGGGCCACCTCTTCCCCCCTATACCCCCCTATACCCACCGCGTAGTTTAGAAAAGAGGGTCTTTCGGGAGTGGTTGGTGTGAGATGTGCCCATAAAGTCTCTTTACTCTGACGTAGCCAGAGTGAGCTGTCCCGTGGCAACGCTTGGGGGAACTAAGCGGAAAAGTCCCATTTCCCTTATAACACATACACCAAGGCGTTAGGGACCATTGTGTCTTCACGTTGGCCGCGGGGTGAGCCTTCCTGGGGAATTGCTGAGCCTGCTTAGTTAAGAGTTTTCTCCCATTGAGAAACCACTGGCCGAGCAGAGTCTTCTTGAAGGCAGTGGTTGAGATGTGGCCCTACAAGTCTGCAAGTTCATACACAAGTATTTGGCCAATAAGTCCCACCCTCTCAGAAGGATGCCTGTTGGGACAGGGTGTCTTAGCACAAGAATTGTGAGAAGCTGAGTTCCCCTTTTTCCTCGAGCACACACAGCTTTAAAGTGGGGTGGACCCCCGAGACACAGCTGCATCAAATTTACTTCATTAGCGATGTCCCTGATTCTAGTCTTCGACTCCTCCCCCAGGTGATAATGAAGGGCACAGTGACTGGGTTGTGAGTCCCCATCCCTGACCCCCAAGTGATACTCTTGAACTAGTCTCATGGTAGATAACCGTGGGGGAAGATAACTAAATGATTCACTCTGGAGAAAATTTTCAAATCAAAAACTTGAGATTAAAAGTGAGCTCAATTTTAAAAATCAGTTATTGTTTTCTTTGCAAACGAAACCAGTAATGTGGAAATACATATCTTTAAATTTTAATACTTATTGAAATTAAAATACAACTGTGGACTTTATGGTTTTAACATAAATGTGCAAAAAAGGTTGTTCACCTTGCTTATGGGAGTGGAGGTGGAGAAGGAGAGGAGAACAATTAGGGTGTTGGGTTGTAGGAGCCTACCAGCAACCCATTGTCCTCACTGTGAGGAAAGGAGAAGAAACAAGAGAGAGGCTGTCTGGAGCAGAGCCTGGCAAACAGTTGGCACTTAGTGTGAGTTTTGTGGACTGACTAGGAAGGAGGAAAGTTCTTTGCTTAAATCTGAAGGTGAACTCCATTGATTGTAAACTGGCATTTGGTA